ATGAGTTCTCTGATGACATCAACACTAAACAAATTGTAGCACTTGTATTTATAATGTTGTTGTGCAAGTTGTAAATTGGCTTATTTAATGAAATTGCACTTTCTTGTTGTCCTTTTGAGTTTGTATCCTTATGGTTGAAATGCTTACTGTGAGTCGCTTTGGATAAAAGCGTCAGCTAAATGACATGTAATGTAATGTTTTATATAAGTTAGTTTATTTGAATATGGGTTGGAGGAACACAATGCAACAGTCCTTTTGCAACAGACTGTCCACAATGCAACAGTCCTTTTTTGGCAGCTATTAAAATTAATGGCTTAAATATTTCATATTTCTTTTTGTCCTTAACAAAATTCATAACTTGTAACACGTGTATTGCTATCTATTGTGATATAGATAGATATATTGTTCCATTATGCCAGGGTATACCATTTCAAATATTTGACACACGTTGACACACAAGTTATATTACGTCAAGATATTTGCGGGGGTTTCATCGAGCAATATTTTTCATACACTACCCTTTCCACATAGTATTGAAATTTCTCCTTACATGTCCTTCAATGGAATGAATGGTGGAGTGTTTTGACTCATTGACTGTAATATAACGCTCCCTGAAAAGCAAAGATTTGTCAACGCATACTAAGCAATTACTTTCTTCCGTTGCAGAGAAAGCTCTTGTTGTCTGGTGTTCGTTCCTTTTGTTTCATTTTAATGGGGTTATCAATTACAGACAATAACACAGGACCCGATTGGTGGGGGGTGTGGGTGAAAAGGGTAAAAGAGCTATTTGGATTTCCACAGCCACACTTCAGGCTTTCAATAACAGGATTAATGTAGCCCCTGGTGCTGCTGTTCCAGTTGGAAAGGGATCAATCGGAAAAAGGAAAAAGCGTATTAAAGGGATTATAGATTAGCAATTAGATTCTTCTGAGTGGGGGTTATAAAGTGTTCACTCACAGTATATTGTGTCATAAGGTGAGTTGCCTGATGGCTGGCTCTGTGGTTCACAGTGTCACTCCCACTCTATCCTCTCTACTTTGCCACCCAGAGGCTGATGTGAGACCAATGACTGCCTTCTGCTTAGATTTAAATACATGTTTGTTTTCTGCTTTTTGGCCTTACAAAATTTTAATTATGATAATTTTAGAGAGCTCTGTGCTCACAATAAGCACTACTAGTACCCAAATACCCCTCTCTACTGTAGAACACAATGATATTGTACGCAGGATCCATTCGATCAGAGAAATTAAAAATGTAAGCATAGCAGGCTAAACAAGCGTAGCCCGGTAGTCTAGCAATAAGGACAAACTGGTTAAAATTATGTTGGGGACCTTCTTACAGAAATTATAAAAAATCTAAATGCATTTGTTTTCTAAAATTATTGTTATTATTATTATTTGATTTGGTGTGAACCAGGGTTTGGATAAAATACAAATCAAAATAGGAGTACAATTAATATTGATTATGAAGACTGTCAATATTTTTCTTTGATACAACTTAATTATTCAAAAATTATATTTTATTTTACATACAAGTTTTGATTTGATGCGGAACTAATTAAAACATTCTAATTTGTTACAGATAATTTGAATAATTATAATTATTTTAATAATTATTAAATTCAATTTCTGTTTTAATATGAACTATAATGTCAATTACAAATTAATTTAATCAAGAATAAATTTCACTACTTTAAACTTCACTTCAGATAAAACTAAAACTAATGTTTATTTGTTTATTCTTTAACAATGTTAAATGTTTATTCTTTAACAAAAACGAGTGAAGTCACAAATTTAATCACTTAAAAATGTATTCCGTGGAGGCCAAATGTGGCCCACCCCACAGGTGTTTCTTGGTAAGCTTTAAAGACAACAAATCATACAGCTCACGGGATAGCTGAGAGCTCGCGTGAGCCTCACCGGGGCCTCATTTACAAAGACTTGCGTGGATTTCTTACTGAAACATGGCGTACGATCAAACCCAAATGCCCTTCCACGTAGAAAAATATCCGGATGTATCAATGTGAGTCGGAGTACCCGACTCCTCCCTGTCCACGCCCCTACTTAAATATAAAAATAATATTTAAATGAGCCCTGCACCTGCAATTCCCCATGATCAGAAAAGATAGAAAAAAGGAATGAGTAAGATGGAAGTGCTACTTTCCGACGTGGAGGGACGCAAAAATGTGCTCTTTGGCACGCTATCATCTGGAATAAGCAGCAAACGTGTGCGTGGCTCCTCGCTGTGCTGCGCTCCAACGCCGGCCGTAGCTCTGCACAGTTCGACGAGGATTGCCCACGGGAACCTAAAGCGACTGATGAGCCAGTTGTCCTCATGTGGACCAGTTGTCCTCATTGCAGACATGTGTTGATTGTTCATGTGTCTCAGATGTGCACATCACTCACCCTGAGGACAAATTGTGTTCACATTTATTTATTATTACATTTTCCCAACATCACCTGCAAATGTCGCCAAAGAATCAACAGCTGTAGAAAAGGGTTTACGACAGCCCTGAAGTTGGCGTGAGGCACTGCACATTTCCAAGGTCATTTTGCTCTTGATACATCTGATCGTTGACGTGAAAAAGTGCGTTCGCCACTTTTTTGTGCGTACGCACCCTTTATACATGAGGCTCCAGATCTTTGGTTTCCTAACTTTCTACACTATTGCGAAAATGCACTATTAATAGTGCATTTTCTAAAACATCTACAGCTTTCATGGGTATCCCAACCACCAAAGCCTTTGTCCAATCACTGGCCTGCCTAGATCCCCAGTAGCTAAACAGTAGTATCGGTAAAATCTTTGCAGGAGACCTTGTAGGCCGTGGATAGAGCACCCACATACAATTAAGACTGTGGTGACAACACAACAAGTGGTTATTATGGACAAGAGTGCATTTTTCAATTGTCCAATCATACTGTCCAACCAGAGAGTGTCATTGATTCCAGGGTTGAAGGTTCCTGGCTTAGAGCTGTCAGTCTGACCAAGGCTTTAATTACCGAAACATCCGGGGGTGCATTGTAAGGGATGAAAGTACAACGAGCAGACCCAAACAATATTTAAACACCGCTTTTCTCAGCTAAGATATTGTCTAAGGACTTTCTATTTTACCAGACTATAAGGCTGGTTTCATGCAAGTGGTAATGCAGGCCTTCAATTGCATCATAGGTAAAGTTTACAAAACCTTGCTGATTGTAGTATAAGTTATCCAATCAACATTTTAATCAATTGTAATCAATCAATTCTATACCATCTATATGCACATGGCTGTCAAAAGAGCCTATTGGGGAGGTGCTCAATTTGGATTTATTTGTGACTTTGGTGTATGGAGAAACCAAGTCTGAATACTTTTTTTATGTACAGGTAGGATATAAAAAGGTTAAATTAGCTGGACCAGACCAATTCGCAGGCAATATTGGATGTATCATTTTAATTCTGGATGTTGGTTGAAAGATTGCGTCCCTGATTTTTTAGAGGGATGACATCATCAAACAGATAAATTGATCTTAATGTGACTGTGTCATGAAAACACCTGAGCATAACCTGTGGGTCTGTGGTTGGGACCCAAGTTTCACCTTTCTTGGACCCAGATCACTCCATTTTTTGTGGCTTTGGGGGAGAAAAGGGGGTTTCCGTGCTAGTGATAGTTTTAAATCAACCAATCAGGTTTCTAAAAAAACTTTTAATATTATAATAAAAATGGTTGTTTAACCGAGATGATACCTCTCTAGTCTAAATAACCACATTTCAATAAAACAGTGAAGTTTTCATTTACCATCAGTCCTGATACTTCCTGCAAATATGTATATCCACCACTTTTTTACATGAGGTAAACATTTGGTCATTATGACAGAATTAGCTGCTCAGGAGTCAGCCAAGAACATCAATGTTTTTGTTTCCACATTTATATCAATCATCGGCATTTGTTTGTATGCATCTTGATCATATTTAGCATAGATTTGAATTGGCAATACCATCAAGGTAAAGCCAAATAAATGGTTCAAATAAAAAAGATGTATAATAATTATTCAAATTACAAATGTTCTGTTCACAGCCTTTACTAGTAGCCTGGTGGCCTCACCAGGATGGTCTGTTCTTGAAGACTGTGAGCTCGAAAGAAAGTGCTTCATCTTTATCAATCACTTTTAGATTTGACTAGCATTGTTTTGTTACATGCTTGCTTTTACGCGGATGCTATTTATCCATATACCATGGAACCCCTACTGGCCTGTTAAAATATAGCATTGGGGGCAAACCTTTGAAGGCAGCTCCTTAATGAGGACAGCTCTGAAAGCACCCTGTGGACCACCAATGAACACACAAACCTGGCATCCACTTTAATTACTGATAAGTTGTGAGCCAGCTAAAGGCAGTGGATTTCCCTCCCCCAGAGCCCCTAATCTGTTTAAAGCCGACAGCTGATCCTAACTGCCGAGTCGGAGGATTCAATGGCAGGTGCCACTGTGAAGTCCCAGAACAGACGCTATCAGTCTTGCATCCCAATCTCCAGAACTCCCAGAGTCTACAATACAACTTCACCGCTATGTGTCCAACTTTCTGGCACATTCGATTATTAGAAAATATCTGCGCCAAGAAATCCGGCAAAGGGCTTATGTGATTTCCACAGATGGTTTACATACATTTTACATACATACATCTTAAATACTGGGTTTTTCATGGTAGTTTCTCAATCAGTAGTTATCAATGCCATAGTGATACTTCAGACGGGCCAAACTGCATCCCGCCACATTGAAGGGTGGAAAAAAAACTTTAGGGTACAAAAGTAGTTGGTTGGTTCAGGTTAGGAAAAGTTTATGGCTTGGCTTAAAATAAATATGTTCGTTAGTTGGCTTACATATGTGGTGTTTGTTAAGTATGTAACAAAAGTATAAGTATATGATTACAATTGTTATAATTATGGGTTTAGAATGGACTTCAGTTAGTCATTACTTACTCACTATTACAACACGAGAAAACGAAAGAAACCACGCATACCAGCATTCAATTGATAAAATTGTTCTTTAATTCATATGTACCATATCGCCAAACCTCCCCAACTTACAACCCCACCCAAAACAAATAAAATGTAATTTAATACTTTTAATATATTTAGTAAGTTTACAGCTTCTGTACATGATTGCTGATTTCAAGGAACTCACAACTAGGGCAGCAACATCATTTTCTTTGTTAGAGGAACCAAGAACGAGCATAAATGGAGTGAACAAGAGGACTTAGCATGTAAGGAGTGAACACACAGCTCATGGGGGGTATGTACAGAAGCAGGGCAATATTCTATGTACAATACAAACCATACAAATTAGGCTCTAAGATAGAGAATTCATAACATTACATTTTATATATTAAGTGACAATGAGAAAGCCCCCTCCCCCACAAACGACCTGCAGATCAATCAAACCAGGTAACCAGATATTCAATCAGCTGAGAATGAGCCAATCAAACAACAAACAACAAGCTATACGATCAGGAACACTGGAATCAGCTGAAGATTGAGAGTGTGACAGTGACTGAGCACATTAAATAATTTTCTCTCCAAACCTGAGAAGGAAGCCTGGTCAGATCTAGCTCACCCCTAGAAAGGTAAGACCACCTTATATCGCCACAAGCATGAGACGCCCATCAAATTCCTCCTGTCAGCCACCTTGCAGGTTTAATAAAAAGGAGTTTTTTTTTATTCTTCTTAGATGAGGAAATTCATTTTGTTTTCCAGTTATAAAGGATAAACTGCAGAGCGTAAATAGCACAGCAGGAGTGAACAGTTTATATTGTGTTGTCCGGGCTTATATACTAAAAGAGGAAAACCAAGTTAGTTAGTTTGAAAAGAAGTGTGTTGTTAAAATAATGCAAACAACGGCAGAGTTCAAAAGTTATCCCAAAATGATACAAAAATGCTGTTTTTTTACACAACAGTGACAGAACATAACTCAGGAACAAAATTCTAACTGCTAATTATGATTGTAATCAGTTTTTGGGGTCATTTTAAGCACTTGACAGTCTTATATACCACCTTTTCACTTAAAAGTGAATGAACTCTGCAAAATTCTGAACATTGAAGTTGTCGAAGTAGTTAGGATAGCTGACTCTGTGATATGGAAATGGTTAGGGACAGTAAGGCTAACATACACATTTCTCTGGGATGGGTAGACGTCCCAGTCTGTGCTACACTTGTCCAGTTTTCAGTATATGAGCCAACATTATATGAACATCAGCCGGAGGGGAAGTAGGGAGTGTCACTGTGGTAGTTATAGTCTGGGCAAACTTTCTGCACCAGTTTGTAGTCGGTGCTGTAGAAGGAAATAAAGATGCAGATGACTTTGAAAGGTTTGGAGCAGAGCCAGGAGACGTGGCTCTGGGTCTGCTCCTGGTAGCAGGTCTTGGATGGGTCGAAGTTGCAGAGTGTGTTTTTGGCACCCTTCTCCACCTTCTCGTACTCTATGCGGCAGTTGAAGGACTTTGAGTCCTTTGCATCGATGACAGACTGCTGTGCAGCCACGTCAAACTCCACTATTTTGGTGGGAGGTACCAGGCTGACGGACACGTTGCCCTGGCCTGTGGAGTTATGGCGGAAGTAGACACTGAAGGTGCCATTGCCATGATCCACAATCTTACCAGTGATGAGCAGGTTGAGTTTGACGGTTTTGATGTTAGAGTGGAAGTCCCCCCAGCCGAACATCTTCTTGAACTTCCCCGTCTTAACCATTGGCCGTCGTTTAGCCCGAGGCCGCGAGTCCTGCAAGTCCGTAGTGTTCCTCAGCCAGTCCCACAGGTCCTGCTCAGAGTAGGGCTCTGGAGTATCATAGCGGAGGTCCAAGGCTGTGCTGTTCTCCTTACCATGTAGAGTCTGTGACAGCAGCCTACTGATGGACATATCCTTACTGCTTCCTGTCCATATATGCTTGAGTGTGGATTTGGGGCTTCCTGACTTGACAATGTCCGACTTTGAGGCGTGGGCATTTGTAACCTGTGGAGAGAAAAAAAGAATCTGGTTGGCCATATATCTTTTCAACTTGAACTTTTTCTGGAATTCTAATTTGGTATTTAATATAGGTGAAATTAAGATGTATTTTAGTTGTAATTCATCAATTTCAATACATTGTCACCATTGTGTTCAAGTTTGTAACCGTTGAAGAAGATCAGTAAATATTTTCTCAATCTTACATGTAGGTCTTCTTTTCTGGCCATGAAATGATCAAGGAATGAATTAGAGAAAATGTATACTAATATATATATATATATATATATAAATAATTCCTCTTGCTGGTACATTACTGTGTTACTATGTTGCATAAGTGGAACAGCATAAAAAGGTAGGACTGTGCATTATGTCGTGTGCATTCATGTGCATCCTTGTTTGGGTGTAGGCCGAGTACAACACACAACTAAGACACTGATGTTTATCTATCCAATACATGATTGAGTCCGCACTGACTATAGGTGAATTGTCTGTTATTACTAAGGGGTAGATAGGGGTCCCAGTGCCACCAGCCACACCTTCCACAAGTTTTAGTATATAATAGTTCTGTTGAATTTTAAGCAGGTCGGTGGGAAGAAGGTCTCAGTTTAAGGGCCAATACAGGAGGTGAAAGGGTGCGTCGTGAGATTAATTACTTCTCTGTATTGTCTGTATCAATTCTGGAAATTTTGATCTTCACATTTGGGCATGTCATATTCCTCTAGATTGACCAATCAAATGTTTTCCATGGTGGGCAGAGATCTATCATTGCTAAAAGGTTCAATGTATAAATGGTGACAAAAGACAGATCCTAATAGTGAAGCAAGCTGACTTAGAAATAGAATGCAGCAATCAAAGTAAGCCCTATTCTTCCCATATATTTCCTGTGACAAGGAGAAGTAGTGTGTGGCTCCCAGATATATGCAGTGCTTATTCAGGGGTTAAAGAGTGGACTATTAAGTAAAGAGTGGCCCCTGAATGGAAGATTGATGAAACCTAGGGTTTTCACCATTCAGTGGCGATGAGTGGAATGAAGCTGATACATGCCCGGTGGACTTATGTGACATTGATTGCCTGAGTTCTACTGTAAGACATGACAGCAGATCTGTCTTTCTAAGGTTTTTCACATTTTGTGGTTTCCCCACAGGATCGATACTTGTAAAATAAGGTTTCGGTACCAATCAGTTAGAATTGAATTGCCTCACAGTGAGTCTCTTAACAGCAGGGGGTGCAGGGTAAGCAATACACAGGGTGAATATATAGCCTACCTATACTGTAAAATATGCAACAGACATGCAAGAACATTTATATCAATATATGATTCTGAGAGGAATGTTGACATGTAAGATAAAAACTGATGAATCATACATCTTATATGAACAGTGATTGTGTTTAAATACATCTGCTTCTGGCTCAAGTTGTAACAATGTCCTTACAATAATTCATTATTTTAACAATTGTATGTGTAAGTCTCTTTTCTTTTTTTTTGCTAGATCAGTTGACCTGTCCACGCAAATTCCTCAGACCTCCGACTTCTTCTATGCAACTATAGGTAAAACATATTGGCATGAAAATGCCATTCATCCGGATTGATTCAGTTTACCTGCCATCAAACTAAATTTGCATTCTGGTAACGAAGTAACCACCATAAATTAGTATGATTCAATCAAATGATCAAATTAGCATCTCACGCTTATAATTTCCCAGTTCCAAATCAGTTAATAGAACTTTATCTGGAAAAATGTAAAAGTGAATGAAATGTATTATACCCCGACCTAATTGTGCACTAAGTAGACTAAAAAAAATAAGGCCCCTACCACAGAGAATGTGAACTACATTTAACTTGAGGAAAAAAAGGGAAGAATCAAAAAGAAGCTGACTGAAGTTAGCAGCCCACTCAGTGGAGCTAAAGAGGGTCTCAGGGGATCTATCTTTAGCTTCAAGGGCTGGGCTCTGAGAGCCCTTTGCTGCGTAAGGAAGACACACTCAGCAATCATTTCCTATTCAAATAGGTGAGGTGGCCTTCTCATACTGAAGAATAGCGGACGGTGGGGGGTAAAGATTATGTTGGTGAAGATCTATGGTAATGTGACTCACTGTTTATGTATGGTCCCTTTCCTCACATTGGATACAATATAATTGATTAAAAAATAACATAAAATACAGAAGACAAAGTAGTTCAGATGCAGTTGCTTTAAAGCAACTAGTTATTTTCTTTCAGCCTAATGCTCTCGGAGAGAGTTCTTGTAATTGTGGGTACCTCAAGAAAACAACATAAACACTGAGACAACCAGGATCAGACAATATTTTTTTGATCCTAACAGCAGTAGCAGATGATTGAAGATACTTTACTCCAGTCTTCTAGCAAGTAAGTATAAATTGAGCCTTTTGATTGCCTCTCAACGGCTCTCCACATGAAGCCGACTGGGTTGGCGGTGTGTAGCTAACCGTGCCGACTGTAAGTGTAGATTTGACCGTGGTTGGCTACATATGGCTAAGAACCTCGGCGTCACACTCGACAACCAACTCTCCCTGACTCCCAACATCACTGCGACAACGCGATCCTGTAGATACACGCTCTACAACATCAGGAGAATACGTCCCCTTCTCACTCAGAAGGCAGCGCAGGTACTGATTCAGGCTCTTGTCATCTCCCGCCTGGACTACTGCAACTCCCTCCTGGCAGGTCTCCCTGCCACCGCCATTCGACCTCTGCAGCTCATTCAGAATGCAGCAGCTCGACTGGTCTTCAACCTTCCGAAATTCTCCCACACTACTCCACTCCTCCGCTCTCTTCACTGGCTACCGGTGGCCGCCCGCATCCAGTTCAAAACACTGGTGCTCACGTACCATGCTGTGAATGGATCGGGTCCAGCTTACATCCAGGACATGGTCAAACCCTACATCCCAACCCGCACTCTCCGCTCTGCATCTGCAAAACTACTCGTCCCTCCCTCACTGAGAGCAAAACACTCGACTAGGTCTCGACTCTTCGCTGTCCTTGCGCCGAAATGGTGGAACGCGCTCTCTGAAGACATCAGGACCGCAGAGAGCCTTCACATCTTCCGCCGCAAACTAAAGACACACCTCTTCAGACTCTACCTCAACTAAAGACTAACAAATTGTAGCACTTAAATTGTACTTGTGACGTCACTCATCTATAGCAAATTGTAAATTCGCTTATTTGAGGAAATTGCACTTTCTTGTTTCTTGTTCTCCTGAGTTTGTACCCTATGGTTGAATGCACTTATTGTACGTCGCTTTGGATAAAAGCGTCAGCTAAATGACATGTAATGTAATGTAATATGGAAAAGTGCATGTCATGAGTTACGACAAACAAAGACTGTAAGTAATGGCAGAGGCAATTGGAGGCAAAACATTAGATATTTCAAACATGGGAGGGCGGCATTAACGAGCTATGCTAAAGGTAGCAGACATCAATGTGCCGCTGCTAGCGAAGCTACTACAGAAACCCCCATCAGAAGGTGACTGTAGCGAAGTGGATAATTGTAAACATAAAAACAGACTTTCTTGGTGCCTAATTAAATGGTAGGGGAAACACTGTGTATGCCTTGGAATTCTCATTGTTAGTTTCACACAATTTTTGGTCATGGAAATTTTGTTTGAAGTCATGGAAATCCATTGGTCAAAATGTGTGTAAACCCTGAGATAAATTTATTGATTTAAGGATTCCCTATTGCCACACGGCCACCGGCAAAACGCTGCCGGCTCCATTTGCGTCATGCGAAGTGTGTAGTGCCACATAGTGGGATGAAATCCTGAACCGGGAAACTGTTTAATTAAATTGAATGTTTGTTTGCCAACTTCAAAAGACTTTTATTCTGGTCGCCATATTTCTGTGTGTGTGGTTAGGTATGACTTTGGTTAGCCCGTTGCACAAAGAACCAAGATCACATTTGATGTTGGAAGCTTGTTGTTGAAGAAGAAAAACTGTAATACTGAATTGTTTTCAAGGATATCAACAGAGGCCCACAGTTTGTGATACTGCGACTATATAAATCTGGCAATATTCTCATACCATATAAGCTCTATCACCGGTGGTACCTCATTCAGTGATTGATGGTGACTGAAATGACTTATATTGATATATTAATGATGAAAAATGTCACTGCATTACTTGAACGAGAGTGCATATTATCTGCAGTAATAACTAGCACGGTGTGGTTTTATTTCCTGTCTTATTTTGTAGTTTTCTGCTTCTTGTCTCCCTGGGTAACTTCACTTCCTGCCTGGTCCTGTCATCGCCCTGTAATTGTCTGATTGTTTCCACCTGTGTCCAATCACCTGCACCTCCCTAGTGTATTTAAGCTGTGTGTCTCTTGTGTCACTTGTCGCGTCATTGTCTATCGTCATGGATGTTCTCGATTCCTGTGTGCCTTTTGCCCCCAGTTCCTGTGTGTGTGTTTGGCCTTTGCTTTTTGCCTTTTTGACGATTAAAGTCCTTTTGCTTTCGACGTCTGTGTTTGAGTCCAGCCTTCCCACGCATTCCCTGACAATAACATATAACAATCAAAGAGCATGGCTGTTTATTTGTACTCATTGTTTGTTGTGTCCAGTAGGTGGGCTCTATATGTAGCAAATACACACTTCTCAGCATGTTTCAGGGCCAAGGGCTAGCGGGTCTGCTGGATCCTGAAGCTGCCAGCTGTCGTGGGCTAAACCTTAGGGAACTGTGCATCTGGTAAACCGGAGGACTCGCAGGTACCTGACTCCTTGCCAGACAGCCATTTGTCCCCCCCAGGCAAGGAAGACTGCTGGCCCAGGCAGGAAGCACCGTCTCTGTCTGCTCTAGTTCTGCAACTCACTTGTTGAAGTTGCTGCAAACTTCCCAATTAAACGAGCAACCCAATTTTGGTTCATTCAGCAACAAGCCGGTCCTGGTTAATACTTAATGGTACGCTCTATTCTTTTTACCTCACTGTGCCACAGTGTTAATTTCGTCAACGAAAACTATGACAAAAATCTTTCTGTTCTCTGGCGACGGTAGG